GAGGGGACACCAGAGGCCTGAGGGCGAAGTGTGGGCGCTTAAGCGCGGGAAAAAACGCCGGTGTGCTGGCACAAGAGATGGGGAGCAGGGTGGACTCAAAGTCGTACACCTGGTAGTATGTGTGCAACTCTGAGTTGGACACAGAGGAGTGGTGGTGTGATGAGGAGTAAGAACTCAGCTGGAGGAGCCAGGGCTCATAACCTAAGAGATCCTGTACAGAGGACTCTCAGTCTAGTGGGAAGATCACTGACTGTATTAGGACTATACCTGTACAGAGGACTCTAAGAACCATATGAGTACAGTATAGTATGGGAATAGAAGATGAACATACCTCAGTCTAGTGGGAAGATCACTGACTGAGGAAAGGAAGGAGCGAAGCCAGCACTGTCTACAGCGCTGGCAGGTGGCAGTGCTTGTCTACTATAATAGGAAGGTAAGGTAATCTAATCTAATCTGACACGTCACCTGACCGCATTCCGACACCCTTGCAGGGCCTAGACTGCCAGTCGCTCATTATCCACTAGTTGGTAAACTCACCTCGCGCGCGTTGCAATCAGATCTCCATGTAACATGATCAACCTCGCTCTATATATCATCCCCTGTCTGAGCAAGCTACGTCCCCCAAACTCCACATGAATGCTCACATCACGTTGTTGCGAACCTGCCTCCGACAAGTCGCTCTGGTGGCTCACTGTCAGCCTCAACGAGGCCCGAACACCGCGATCCCCTCGCTAATGACGAACGAGCAGGCCTTGCTCTCACAGAACTTCTCCCTGCAGAATTCTTGCTGGCAAGATCTTCGCGCTGCGTAGCTCCGCCGCGATCACAAGTCGAAGCAATCGTCGTCCAGTGGCTGCGCTTACGGCAGTAAATGGCATACACCGCTGTTCCTGTGTCCTGTATGGTCCACGCCCTCCCGCACAACGTGTGAGGAACTCACGGAGCACGGTGACGGCAGAGGGCTTGCGCCTGTATCGAGTATCAGGGAGAAAAAGGGCGAGTGGAACGGGAGGACATTCGGTGAGCACTCGCTTTCTTGCAACTGTCACGTCTAGTACCAGCACGGCTCTGCTGATCTATATAAAGCTACGATCCTATGCGCCCGTGATACCAGACTGTTGAAGTGGTCGTCTGCATCCTTACATGCGCCTGTTTCGTGTATGCGGCACACAGACGCTATGAACGCTATCTAGCTTCAATCCATGATCGGATCCCTTATGGGTTCATACTGACGCATGTGTTCATGTAGCCATCTCATGCTTTCAGATTCCATGACGCGACCGTTCCTTTGTATCTACGAGCTCCGAAATCGCTCAACACGGCCAGACGTTCCTAGCCAGATGAAAGGTTAGGGCCGCTGCGTATCTCAACAACAGGTAGCTTTGCTTGCCAAGTACGTCCCTTCCCGCGTGTATCCTTCCTGTTCATCCTCGTGAGCGCGTGTGCATGCGTGCTGCCGAAAGGTTCCATGAGGTCCTACCCAAGCGGGCGACACTACGGCTCAACATCCTATCTGTCATAGGCACTACGCGCGCTGACTCTGTCGTGCAGCTTGGGATGCGTGGGATATATGCATGCTCTCGCCCTTCGTTCCATGCCCCGTTTGAGCACGATGGTCGATATTCTGACCAGTTTTTTTTTTTCGCTTGAGCACCTCCATCAGGAAAAAATCACTTGCCTCGAAAGAGCTATAGATTCTCCAGAGACCGATTAGACAGTCGAGGCAAGTACCCTGTTATGGAGACCCCACTAGCGCCTCAAGAGGTCGCGCGAGATCTCCCCAGAAGCTCTCGAGTACTCTCGAGCACTCCCAAGCACACATCGAGACATTGATAGACATCACAGACCCGAATATACAGCCATATTATGGCACGCACACCCCTCACGAATCATCCATATGACCACAGAAACCAATATCATTCGAAGAATCATATGTAATCCGCAGTACAAAATCTACACTACTGATCGCTGTAGTACACTAGTTCCGAGTCGAGTCCGAGTCAATGGCCTTGCTCCGCCTCATCTTCACCGTCAGTTAGCCCTGTGCATGCTTCAAGCTCAGCTTTTGCAATCTCCGTGGCTGCATTGTGTGACTCACACAGTACAGGTGTCCAGTGCAACACCCCCGCCACCACGACTGCATGGCGGTAAAAATTCTCATCCGCGGACCCCAATGCGAGCCTATGTGGCAACCAACACGGGCAAAACAATGACTTACCATAGCTACTCATTGAAGAATATATGAGCTCACGGTACCGCAGTATAAGAAACCAAGGGGGACGTGGAAACACCGTATGTGATACGAGCGGGGCTTGCTAGACGATGAACTCACAATAGACTCCAATGGCTTCACCCACAACGAGCTCAGTAAGGGACGTGATTCACGCAGGCTTCAGCATGGAAACCAGGCCTCTTAGGGCATACCACATAGTCAAAGATAAGGCCAGGGAACAGTACTTATAGCCCATGAGTCAGACCGGACGACAGAGTGGGGTCATGGAGGATGGGGGAAGACGTCGAAGTGGTGGAGGCTACGCCAGCATTAATGGGAATGTTGATGTTGCCACGTGGAGTTTAGGGCCGGTCAGGGATAACTTGGCACATTCATTGTACTGCTCTGCTCGCAAAAGAGGAGATACTCTGACAAGATTTTGCATGGCAGCAACTACAAACTTGATTCATAGGTGCAGGACAAGTCCCACGAGTAGAAAGGGAGCAGCGGGCGATTGTCATCACTTGATGGCGTCCTCGGAACCTCGGCTGAGCTTCCGAGCGCTCGCAAGCTGATAGGCACAACTCGAGCGACTCGAGAGGGCTCGCGATGCTCAGGAGCTCCGGTGGGGTCTCGCAATGCTCGGGAACTCCGGTGGGGGGCTCGCGAGAAATAGGTTTTTTCCTGATGTCCCTCTAGATCATGACAAGGCAAATTCATGTCCTCTCCACATCCTCCATCGCCGTCTCAGTCGATACGCCTTTGCCTGTTCGTTCTCTCCTCCACTATATGCACCGATAATTCCACTACTCCCGTCGCCATCTACTGGCAACGGAAGGACGAAGACAACAGCGGTCGCCGTATAAGCCGTGTCGCTATCGCAGAGGAGGGCCGAGACGACAGCGACGGCGCGACCAGTGCTAGGGCAAGCAGACTATTACAACCTTCTCGAAGGGCTGCGGGGAAGACCCACAAGAAGGCAGCCGAGGTGAGTGCCGAGCGCTGCTATGACGATTTCTGAGAACCTCATCTTGACGACTGGCTTTCTGCCTGCCAGTTATGTGATCGTGTCTGGTCAGCAATGGTCTCATCCGGCTCTGGAAGCTGATCAGGCGATCGAGGTGCTGAAGGAGACCGTCGCAGAGGAGATCCGACCTGCGCAAGAAGCAGCTTCAAGCTAATCCACTTCACAGGTTCAAGGCTGTCCGCCGGAGCAAGGGCGACGAAAACGTCTCTACCGTCATTTCGCGGCTGTGTCCGCATGGGAACATCAATATGAAGGTGCCTCATTGCTCAGATGCGAAACGATGGGCGTATACTGACGCACCTAGTGCAATCTATCCAACAGACCATAGCGAAGAATTATGCAAGCCGGCTAGTAGATGGTTGCAACCCACAACTTGGCGGAGCGCGCATGTCCTCGCTGGGTGGGGGCCGGGAGGGAAGGCGTGGCCGTGTTGGAGTACGTCCCCTCTGTCACTCACACCTGTCCCTCTTGTTGTCGTCCTCCTGTGCTGCAGAAGGAAACAAATGCCATTGGACTATGTTCGAGACACTTACTCCACCCCCAGCTCGAATTGGTCGCTCGCTCCGCAGGACTCGCCGAGGGCCGCCACTAAGTGGGCGCGTGAGAGCGTGGAAGACAAGTGAACACCCGCCCTCGAGCGAGATGATACAGGTTCACTGACAAGATCGAAGTGATTGTCAGAAGATTGGGAGATACCGGCAACGAGCGTGTTTGGATTGAGGATGTGAAGAAGTGACAGTCAATCTTCGCGATCGAATGTTTGCGGCGGCGTGCTGATGAGAAGTGCACTTTGTGATGCACTTGACGGTTTCGACTGGTTCCTGCGCGATCAAGGTGTGCATCTCAGTCTCATTGTCGCTACGGGAATGTGGACCTCACTTATCATCCCAGATCTTTTCTTGTTCCTAATATTCTGGGGTTCATCCAGCCAGAGCGTGGTAGGGGAGACATCCCGGGAGTGAACGCTCCGTAGCGTTGTCACTCATGAAATGAATCGCATGGTTTTGGTTTACTTGTTCTTCGCTGTTGGCCCCACTCGACGTGCGTTCGTTTGATGGCGTTTATGCTTGAGTACTCAAACTGCGCAGAGACTGGCATCCTAGGTGCACCTTATTCAGCCTCGATGCCGATTACCTCCGTAATCCTCGCGTGTATCATAATGAACTTCTCTCGTATCATGTCTGTATCCGTGCAGTTGTCCATCTTTCTCCCCATTGCACCTCAACTCCTTTGATCTCCTCAATCCTGAATCATTGAATGACGTAGGATATTGCTCCACCAGGTATAGCCACACGAGTTCCCATGCCAGTTCAGTACGTATACCGTAATCGTCCTTGGTCACGCGAGCTAACAACTGAGGCTTTCCCATCTGACGATTGACGCAAGGAAAACGAACAGACTTTTAAAAATTGACTGTGTTGCCAGGACTGTAGTGAGTGAAATCGTGTCGCTCACTCTATTCCTCTATTCTTAGCAGGACCCTGATCGTAGCACCCTTCTCCAAATTTTTCAACAATAGAACGGCGGCTTTTGTGGCTGTGGGCATCTTTTGGGGCTGACTATAATTCATACAAATACTCCTTTGGCATGGCTGACATCTTAACATACCCGTTTACCTCGCATATTGTGACCACTGCATCATCATGGCTTCCTTAGTACAGAGGGGGAAGCTCGTTGTTGAGATGGCACGCCTGTATGTATGAATCTTTATGTCCGACCGAGTTGGAAATTTGGATTCTAACGATCCTCTTATATGGTAGGGCAAGCGGAAATTATTGCACTACTGCCGGAGCAGGTAGCTCGACCACAGTCATAAGCCCTCGCAGTAACCTAGGTATCAGATCGCTAACTTGTCTGCACTACAGTCATTTTTCTGTACGACTCACTAATCACGACTGGAGAAGAAGTGCGATGTTTCTGGGGGCGGAAAGTTGCTGGAGCAACCATCCTGTTCTGGCTGAACAAGTATATGACCACACTTTGCTTAGTCTGGGACCTCGCGAGTGGATTGAACATATCAGATGAGGTAACGAGCTCCCTCTAGCCCACCATTAGCCTATACTGATTGGTCTTGCTGATTTACTAGAGGTGAATTTACCTCACAAGGAAATTCTTCAGCTGTGCTAAAACCGTCCATGTTGGTAGCTGTGCTCTCTCAGTGAAGGGGGATGCTGCTACAGAATACTTGCTTCTCGTGATTCTGGCTGGTGAGAATTCCATCGCTCATGATTCAGCTAGAAGCACTTTTTCAGAATTCTGTCTTCCTAGCTTTCACAGGGATACGAGTCTATGCACTACAGAGAAGCTTGCCTCTGTGTCTTATGACTATTGCTTTGTCTTTAGTGCCCGTCGGAGTCAACTTCGTGAGATCGTACCAGGCCACATTCACCTGTAATGTGTCCACTGATGCGTTGTCAGGCCGACTATTTTTTTGGACTGACGGGAAAGAACATCGATCCTATTGGATGCACCCAGATCGATGATGAATCCTTAGAATTCTCGAAGAAGTGAGCCTCCCCTACTTCATGTCAGTCGAAATTCTTCCCTATCGAGTATCTGATGTGTTCCAGGTGTAGGTTGCATGTCTCAGTCGACTCATACCCTTTCTGATAGATCGTGTTAGTGACGATTATATCCCGATCATGCCTCATAGCCGCAGACATCGTTGTGATTGGAGTAACATGGTTTACACTGGCACAACCGTATGCCATCCGCCATATCCACGTGCTGAAAAGCTCTTTAGCTAGCGTTCTCTTGATCGATGGTGAGGGTCCAATTTGAGGTGCTAGTCACTTCGAGCGAAACTTATAATCAATAACTCAGGGACCGTCTATTTCGTGTGAGTCCCCCTGTTCCGAAGTGTGCTGTAGCTTACTACAAGCTCGTTTAGTATGCTTGCAGTGCTTAACGCTCTGCATCTGGCTTTCTCTCTGCTTCCGGTGGAACCCATGCTTCGCATTTGAATCATATGCCCTTGCTGACTAAAAGCCACAGTTGGATATAACCGTATTGCAACCCACAAGCGTGATAACTACCTTCACAGTCCCGTACGTGTGGCTCTGAATTCATCTATTAGGTCTCCTCCTGACTCTGTCACATGGCGTGGACCTCCGTTTATCCAGCTTATCCGCAACCCTTGTCTCGCGCTTCCTCTTACACATTCAATCTGCGAGTCTACGAGCCGTCGGCTCCACATCCTCTCTACAATTCACATATATGCATCCCGCGAACTCCTTGATTTACGAGCGAGTTGTTGGATCACTTGGAGCATCGATCTCGGCAAATTATTATCTCAATCAGGACGGCGGCCTGAGCACGGACGACAACATGATGAATGATGCAGGAGCCGAGTAGGCTTATACCTTGATGGAGTAATCCAACACTGGATGACCGCTGGGGATGCACGAGGATATCGGCCACACTATTCGGACAGACATGTAGAGAGCGTTGTTTGCTGAGTGCTAGTTGATGTAGTATACCTTGTATTTATCAGACCGTATACTGACTACACATACTGCAAGCCCTTGAGAGGCGAAGGGTTGAGAGGGATTGTATGCCATCAAATACCGGTGCCGCACCTCCATCAGCGCTTTATGACCAGCGGCGCTCGAAGGGCGCCTAAACTCTCTCCATGGCAATTGGCCACCACAGCTGCCTCCCATCCGACATGTTACCTAGACCTTCTCATTTTACCACTATCTTCTTGATCTCGTGAACCTGAGCTGTGATCTCACCTGATTCTGTCCCATGAGAAGCATGCGTCCATCGAGTCCGTCGCACCCGACAATTAAATCAGCAAACGGCAATGGCAAAGTGGAAAATCAGGAAAGGGGCTTAGAGATTGCCCGATGGAACTAGCAGACAAGAAGTACGACGAGAATACAGAAGCAGGTGCCATGACGCCCGGGAGGACGGTCGAGATTGTGAGTACGATACTGCTTTGTTGTTGTGGAGAGCGCGTCGTTGACGTTGATTGCAACTCCCTTTGTCCTTGCTTCTATCCGTTTTTCCTCTGTTAGACCTACGCTGCGGAATTTTCATTGCGAGCAGCGCCATTCTGCTCATTGCACCAGCCTACGCACGCGTAGGATGTCTCAGGCGAGTCCCAGTTCGAAGCCGCTCCCGATGATGCCAGTCGCGCCACAGCTGGTGAACAGAAGCAAGTACGACAAGAGATTCTTCCACCTCATGTCGTAGCGACCATCTTCCAGCGAGTCCACGTTCAAATATTGTGCTATCGTAAAGCCCCAAAGAGGCTTCGCGGATACCCGCGTCGCGCAGCATTAGACGATAGGACAAGCTCATGCCTGCACCCGAGCTGCTATTCAGTAGATAGGGAGCGGCTCATTGAGCAGCTGTGTCTCGCCCTCAGAAGAGCTCGCCGAAGGCCAAGGAGGAGCGTGAGCTGTGTCTCAAACTTTTCCATTCACCTTCGCGTCGGCCCAATCTACCCAGAACACAGTTGCGTATACGACGATGAACACGAAGGCGCCGAAGGCAGGAGGGACGGCAGGTACCCGTTCGCAAATCGGCACGCAGATGAACCACTTGTAGATGATCGTCGGGCAGCTCATGCGACAGTGAGGACAGGACAATGTAAGTAAGTCGTCATCTACAGGTATCGTGGCGGATTCGTGCTGATAGGGATCGTACCAAGCTGCGTACACTGGATAGATGGCGGTCAGTGTGTGATAACTAATAGCAGGAGGTGCGCTTCTTTGGTCTCCTTTCATCCGAAATCATATCAAGCCACTTCGGGATCGTCGCCCCGTGCCCTGAATGGTGGCTCCCACCGGAGCCGGACATCCTTGGAGTCTGTCGCGAAGGCAAACGAGTAGAAATCCCGGCGAACGATAACGCTGCTTCTCCGTTGCCTCTCGTCTCTCAAACATTATTACAGTTTCCCTGATCGTTCGACGTGACTCATACCTCTGCATCTTCTGACCTCTGTATCGTGTTGACATATACATCGGTTTAGATCAGTCTCAAGCCTCACCTCAATCTCATCTCACCCGTGAGCCTGCTCGCTAGCGCCCTACGCTGTCTTGCGATCACAGACCGTGGAACCTGTGCCGTCATCCCGCCTGCTTCCGTCTGCACGGGCTTCTGCGATCTCCCTTTGTGGTACCCGGATCTCTCCTCAAAACGCAACTCCACTTCCAAGATTAAATGCCAATCATATAGTTGCTGTGCGACATTCCCTCAGATCTTCAGAGGTTGCGTCCTCACATCGCATCACTCCCCACAGCCCCCGTGACGCTAGCCCAGAAGAAGCACGCTCGCTGGCTATGTTTGATGCTCTCATCCCCTCTGGCACCGATAGAAGCCGACGTTATCTCTGTGCCAGCGATAGTGCACTTGGCTGTGTGGAAGATGAACCCTCTCACACTTGCCCGATATCCATCTTCCGAGACGAACACAAGGGGAACCAAATGGAGAGTCGGATCCACTGATACGACTCGTACAGCTGTTGCTTGCGGCATAGTACGACGACTAGGAGATTGGGGTATTTTCATTCAATGGTGCGGTGGGTATGCGGGTAGAATCGGCGGCTGTGTCTACTGCCGCTGTCGTCGATCTAAGTCGTAGACTACTCGGAAGTAATCAGTACAACTGACGTATGAAAGCCACTCAATGTTCAGGTGACTCCGAACCGCTACGAACGGTGAGAAGGCATCTGTTCGCGAAGCATACTAGCGTGATTTCAACCTGATGAGGTAGCTCTCTGTTTCGGGTTTAAGGAAGCGTGTTCAAATGCGAATCCTCCCCAGCTCGTCGCGGACTACATCTACCCTACAGATTCTGCCTCAATTTGAGCTGCCCATTCGGCATGTCTTCCTCGCCAGAGAGCCGAATAGATTCCGAATTTGCTAGCTAGTACGTCTTGTGCCAACATGCCCCATCTTGAAAGTGTAGGCACTGAACATTGTCTTGCGCTTTAGCCTAATCGGATCGTACTGCGACGTGGCCGGAGGAGGTATTAGGACTTGATTGTAGCCCGTCTCGTGGCAGTCCGAACGTTTGATCGCTCACTTACATCGTCACAGTTCTCTTCATCTACGACGCGGTCATCACAACTGGGGATGAAGTAAGGTGCTTCTGGGGACGAAGGGCCACGGGCGCTGCCCTTCTATTCTGGCTGAACAAGTACATGACTATGCTCTACCTAGTATGGGATCTCGGAACCTACCTGCATATATCAGATCAGGTCGGGCTTATAACTCTTATTTTGCTCAACTGACTGACCTTTCGACTCTACAGAGGTGAGCCGAATCAAACAATGTCCCCCCAGAGAGAGCCTCAGAACTGGGAATGTGTATATAGTTGTGATCGCTCCGTAAAAGGCGCCTTTGCTGTGGGAGTGTTGCTTTCTCTAATCTTGGCAGGCAAGTGTTGTGCGCCTCATGCTAATCGAAGCGGTCTGATTGTTAACTCTTCCAGTGTTCACGGCCGTACGTGTGTATGCGCTGCGCAGGAGTCTCCTTCTATGTTCAATTACTTTCCTCCTGGCTATGGTGCCTGCTGGAGTAAACTTCGTAAGGCCATCCCTCGGCAGCTCTCTTGTCATCCTCTCACACTTACACCTTGGCTGGCAGGTACACTTCCGGTTCGGTATGACAGGACAAAATGTCGCGCCTTATGGATGTCTGTCAATAGAGCCAACACCTGTGGACCTCGGAAAAAAGTCTGTCGCATCTGTCTCACCGATCGAAAGCCTCCGCTGAAGCAGTTTGTTGATTCTAGATGTAGGTTCAGCCTCATTGTAGATCTCATACACTGCTCAGGCCATCGTGCTAGTGACCATTGCATCCCGTACATGCCTGATTGCAGCAGACTGTCTTGCCATTTGGGCGACATGGTTTACACTGTACCAAGCAGGACGTGTCGCACGCCATGCAGGTGTGCTCAAAGGCTCGATTTCTAGTGTGTTTTTGGTGTATGGTGAGCGCAAGCTTGTACACTTTCCTCGCTCAGTGATGTTGATGAATTTCCACTCAGGAACGGCCTACTTCCTGTAAGTTGCATGACATCGGCGAGCGTTGTGGACTCACTGAGAGCTTGCATCAGGGCCCTCGCCATACTGAACTCGCTTCATCTGACATTCACGTTACTCTCGGTGAAGTTGAACTGGCTATCGTCAACAGCAAATCACTAACGCTGAGCAGCTAGCTATATTTGCATTGAGATTCGCAAGCGGGATAACTGCATTCTCAATCCCGTACGTGCACCTCTACTGTCCCCGCTAGTGGTATACTGACCTACAGCCGTATGTGCTCCAATTCCCAACGCCATAACCTAGCCTCTCCGCCATACTCGTCTCCCGCTTTCTCTTACACCTGCAGGCAGCGAGTCTCCGGTCCGTTGGCTCCATACCATCCTCACAAGCTCTATCGCTCTCCCTCAATAGCTCTCTTGTATTCGAACGCGTCGTTGGATCCCTTGCCAGTGGGACTTCACTTGCGTCAGAGGATTACTTCGCACGTTCTAGCAACGACGATGATATGTTCCAAGACGGTGCAGAGACTGAATTGGCCGAGTTACAAAGAGTCTAGCCCACTGATTTGTTCCACTTCGTCGGCATAGTTGGTGAAAGCCATCTTGGTATCGGATTCGTCCAGTGATAGCAGACTCCTATATTGTATGTAGATTACGCCCGATTCCAACGCGCACAGCCAGTATATCGTATTACCCAATCCTCCGCGACGCGGCTCCTACTGCCCTCGATCACCTTCATTCATCGACAATGAACTGGGATCATTAATGATCCGACGAGTCCATGAATCCCATCCCACGCAATCACAGCCAAAAGAGCTCGTAAGCCGATAGAACGATGGCCGAAAGAAATAGAACAGGAAACAGAAATATGCAGGTATATTATGGTACAGCCGCCCGATACGTACAATACAACTAATGCGGAGGGAGCCAAGAACAGCAAACAACGTGGGGCAAACAGCAAATGTCGCCGTCCAGGATCAGATACGAGACACCATGGGTCTATCAGCGGCGGTAGCCTAGGGCCTCGGGCCTCTAGTCAAACTTGTACACCTCCTTGATCTCCTTCTCGAAAGCGTCCGCGACCTTCTTCCGCTGTACCTTCTGCGCCGCCGTCACCAGGCCGCTCTCCGGCGTCCACTCCTCGGGCGTGAGCACGACGGCCTGGAGAAGCTCCATCGGCTTGAAGCCGTTCTTCTTACCCTGCGCGTTGAGCTCCTTGAGGAACAGGTCCGCGACCGCGCGGTCGTGGCAGAGGTCGGGCAGCGGCTTCTCCGGGTCGACATCCGTCTTGCTCGCGAGCACCTGGCGTAGGTGCACGTGGTTCGGAATGATGATCGCCATCGGCTGCTTCGCGTTCGAGTTCGCGTGCACGCAGATGTTCGAGACGAGGTTGCACGACTTGTAGATCGACTCCAGGCGCTCGAGCGCGATGTACTGCGTCAGTGTGCGTTAGTCACGGCTGACCGGATCGGACCGGAACGAGGGACAAGATGACGGATACGGACCTCCCCGCCCTGGAGCTTAACAAGGTTCTTGATTCTGTGGGGTTGGGGTAAATGGGGGCGATACGTCAGCGGCGGCGCGTAATATATCATGACGGACCGGGCGCGTGCCGGAGCCGCAGAGCAGCACACGACTCGCCCGGACAGGACTTACCGGTCGACGAGGCTGAGCGTGCCGTCCGGGTTCCATTGACCCACGTCCCCCGTACGAAGCCAGCCATCCTTGGTGAAGATGGTCTCGTCGTTGTTCAGGTCATCGCGCTTGTAGTAGCCCTTGGTGACCGACGGTCCGCGGATGCAGACCTCGCCCCGCGGTGGGTTGTCCGTCGACTTATAGCCCGCCTCGGGCACGTCGAGCAGCTTGATCTCAATCGAAGGCATGGGGAGACCGACGGCGTTGTATCGCATGAACTCAGGCGGCATGACAGCGCACATGCCGCACGACTCGGTCATACCGTAGCCTGTACTCGTCAGTTAGCGCGCTCTAACGGGTCACCTCGAGTCGGGGTACCTACCCTGGAGGACCGTCACGACAGCAACCGACAAGAACTCCTGTGTCTCGGCACTGAGCGCGGCGCCGCCAGAAAGGGCGAGGCGGAGGTTGCCGCCGGTCGCAGCCTTGACCTGGCTGAACACAGCAGAGTCGGCGAGCTGGCTGAGCCCGGGGACGCCCGCCTTCTTGACGGAGTACGCGCCGTTGAACACGCTCTTGCGCAACGTCCCGCCCGTGTTGATCTTTGCCACGATGCCCTTGCGGATCATCTCCCATACCGCGGGCACGCCCGTCATGATCGACGGCCTGAACGCGCGGATGTCGCCCAGGCAGTTGCGCACCGACGCGTCCGTGAGCGTTTTCACGCGCCCGTACCCAAACGTCATCCCCACGAAGAACAGGCCCAGCTCGACGACGAACTCGAGGATATGCGACAGCGGCAGGTACGCGATGTACCTGTCCTCCGACCGCAGGTGGTGGCCGAGCAGCTGGCGCACCGCCCCGACCGACGCCACCAGGTTGCTGTGCGAGATGACGACGCCCTTCGGCGGGCCCGTCGTTCCGCTCGTGTACATGATGCACGACGTGTCGCTCGAGATCGGGCGCCGCTCCTTGAGCTGCTCCGGCGTGGTGCCCTTGCCGAGCTTCCGCACTTCGTCAATAGACAGCACCAGCATGTTCTCGCGCGCGGCCTTGATCCTGTCGAGGAGCTCTTGCTTCGGCTCGCCGTCGTAGATCACAAGCCGGAGGGAGGGGACGTCCCCGGCTACGTTCGCCACGACCGGGAGAAGTTCGGCATTCGTGAAGATGCCGATGCACTCCGGCTCGTTCAACGAGTGCTGCAGGCCAGACTCGCCGAGGGTGTCGTATGCGGTGGCAATGGCGGTACCAATGAATTGATTGCCAAATGAAATGAGTTGCCAGTTTGGGCTGAATGCGAGAGACGGACACGCGGATCCTAGGGTGAACGGCGGCCGAAAGCGGACGAATCAGGAGACTTACCCAGTAGCGGCGTAGATGTTGAAGACGTCCGTCTTCTTCACGTCCAGCTTGAGCAGCCCTCCAGCGACCTCCAACGCGGCCTCCTTGACCTGGACGAAACTGAGGTACTTGTAGTCGCTCAGCTCGAAGTACTTCCACGTCTTGGTCTCTGTGACCTCCTTGCCGCCGACGACCTTCTTCACATCCTTCTTCTCCTCGTGGACGGCGACGATGTCGCGCCAGCCGAACGAGTCCTTCGTGCCGTGCGTGCGCGCAGCATAGTCGAGTATGTCGGGCACGGTCTCGATGCCGTCGAGAGGCTGGGTGACGAGCTTGTCCTTCGTCAGCGCGAGGCGCCGGACACGCGTTTGGCCGTCGACCTTCTCCCCGAGCTCGGCGGAGCCGGGGTAGCCAAAGATGTTGTTTTTCGTGGCTGTCGACATGAGATAGAGTACAATGAGCGACGGTGGACGAGAAGGGGTCGCGAGAGAGAGAGGGGTATGGAGAGGGTGAGGACGAGAGGGATGCGGTCACTCACGCAGTCGCGAGGACGACTTCATACTCCGCTTGTTGGTTCCTCCACCGGTCAACGTGTTTAGGTGCGTCACGGGGAAAGAGCTGTCCGTGGATCCGGTACCTACGGTGCGCGTCTAGCCTTAGTAGGCAGTGTGCTGGACTTGGAGAGGAAGAGAATAGTTGGGAGCTTTAAGTCAGTAGAATGGGGGGAGCTCAGCGGCAGCGGGGACACAGGGGCTTTTATGCCGACGCGCTTGTCGAACGGCCACACGCGCAGCGAGGAAAGATTGTGGGGGTGAGCGCATCTAACCAGATTCGAACGCTCCCCCGCGTCTTTCCTTTTTTGGGAGTGCCGGCGGCATGTAGGGTACGTATACGCAAACTGTCACTGCGGAAACTCTGGCGGGGAAGGGCGTATTCAATATCCTCTGCAGTCATAACAGTATCCTTACACAGCTTGGAGATGATTATGAGTGGGTTCTCAGTCTTCCACAGATGTGCTCATTTAGCTTGGTGCGTGCCACAGCATACGCTGCTAGACCGTGGACGATCAATGTCGTCCGCCGTGTTGAACCCTCGAGCTTCGCACCTGACATAGTTTTGGGTGGCGTCCACAAGAGACTGCGGCGAGTTGTACGAACGTACTTCAGTATCATCCGAGGTGAATGGCCGACAATATCTCCATAATGCGGTTCTTGAGCTGCGCTGGCCATATCTGGGTCTCTCGTGGCTAGAGGACAGTGGATATCCCCGTATGTCATGTTCGCTCACTGAGGTGGATATATGCACCCTATGGCGGGGCTTTGAGTGGGATATCGGCCCGGGCGCACGGTCGGTCAAGTATTGGCGACCAGGTCGATTGGGTTGGGCCCACAATGCGCATTTCGATCTGTATGCAGGCTATATGCGCTGGTCAGACATGGTAAACAAACTCACATGTATCTCAGATGTTGACTTACGCACAAAATGTGAGCCTGCTATAGCTTGTATCTGACATCAACCTTGTTGTACAGCCTGTCTAGCAAGTCAGTTTGGAGGTCTATCTCGTCTAGTTAGGGGCGGGCGTGGAGGACCTAGGAGATGGTGGTAGGAAGAGAGGAGGTATCAGGGCTCTCATGAACTGGGCCTGCCTCCTTTCATCGTCGTCTCTTACTTATTATACAAATAGCCCTGCGACGCGTCGCAGCCGAAGACTCGGAGCGTGTCGCGTCTGGCATGTGACCGTGATCAATGGATGTGAGCCGATTCTGTTGGATGCTCGCTCGGGGATATCGGGCATTTGGCACAGTGGTAGCGCGCACGCTTCGCATGCGTGAGGTCCAGAGTTCAATCCTCTGATTGTCCACACTTGTTTTGCTGCACGAAGTATTTACCGACAACAGTCCCGAAAGGAACTCCAAAGAATGCGAAGTACAAATAGCATCACAAGGCAGTCGCCCACTCCTTTTCGGGCCGCAGGCCCCAGCTCTGCAACCAATTCTCAAACAGCCCTGCGATCTTCTGGTGTCCTGGCACATTCGGGTGTTGGTTGCTGCGGCGGGCAGTCAGCCCTTGACCAAAGACTACTATATGGAAGGGAAGATACTCACGCGGGAAAGACGTCCTCCCAAGTAACCCACCCAGTCGTATTCACGAGGAATGTGTTCAGATCGCCCGCTTCGTGTCTGAGAAGCCCCCCGGTCCGGGATAGTTGTTTATGCTAAGCGACTATCAAGTTAGACGAAGAGAAAGGAGACGGACGTACCGCTCCTGCACCACGAGCTCGTGCGCACCGGGATAGTAGTAGCTGACGGAGCCGTCGGCATTGGGCCACCCCCACTACGAGAAACGGGCTAGTCGGTGATCTCGGGTCGACGCAAGACTGATTCGTGCACGTACCGGAGTGAATACGAAGAAGGGCGCGGTGGGATAGAGCCCTCGCAGACGGCCAAGGAAGGTCGTGAAGACCTACATACAGGAAATCCCGCTCAGGTTAGGGGATCTGAGGAACTCCGGTATGCTGAATACGTGCCTTGACGAACGCTTCTGCTGTCACATTCTGCGATGCGTCATTCGCTCTTCGTAGCGAGGATGAGCCGGGAGAATTGTGAACACTATGTGTACGATAACACACCCAATATGAACGACGAGATGAGTAGGTTCGGGACGGTCTCGTAAGAAGTTCCATGGGGTCGTGAAATTGTGATCTGTCGTGTCGAAGTAGCCCGTATCCTCCGTCTATATTGCACGTTCGATGTCTGAGAAGAGATGGCCTGGAGACTGAGAGGTGCGATACTGACCCTAAAGTACTGGTACGAGACCCCATGCTCGTTGCCATACGACACGATGTCCTTCGAGTACACCTGAGTTTCTGTGAGAGCGAAGGGGATTGAGAATACCTACAGACAAGGCAGCGCCTGGCTGGGCATTCACGTTGTGCTCCGCCTTGAAGAACTCTCCCGTTAGGAATGGCCATGCCTGATCCACGCCCTGGGGTAGAAATTGTCCCTGGGAACCACCCCCAACGCCCTGAGTCAGTGAATGCAGCCAAGAGTAGCGAAGTCGAAGTGCGAACACGTACGGCCGAAAGCGAGTCGCCAATGAACTGGAACGCAAGCTTCGAGGGAGCGTAAGGGAGCAACTCGGCACCCTGATCCAAAGATCCGGGTCAGCAGCCTGCGTGCGGGATCTCAACACGATTCGGACCTTGTTCAGAACAATCGTCTCGAGGTTGATGCGGTTGTCTTGCCAGCCCTCGACGTTTACCCGCACGACGCTCGTCTTCTTTCCTTGATTCGACTTCGATTCCGTGTCTTGCGTCATGTTGCCGGTCAACGGAACCACATTCACGCCTTCGCTGACGTTCACCTGGTAGAACGGCGCATAGTCCACCGAGACCCCGATGCTCGCAAGCGGGGAAGTCGTGTGTGGTCCCAGGTTGAGAGTCAGCGAAGAGAGGTCCTGGACGTGCAGCTTGAAGCCTGAGCCTGCCCTGTGGAGTACGTGAGCGCAGTCAGATACTTGGGGCCAAAAAAAACACATGGATGAGCGTCGATTGACAGCTCCGGGGCCGCCGGAGAAAGCTCAGATCCTCGTGGATGGCAGCACTAATGTATCATGAGAAGCGTAAATAGAAGGCAGGACTCACCACCAGGTACCCGGCGACGCGTCCCATCGACCGTGGAAATGGATCAGAGGGTGGTCATTTGGGATGACCACTTCGCCTCCGGATCCCTGCTCGGAATCCCCGCTTGGAGAAGGTGCTGCCATGGCATGGAGGGCGAGAATTGTTGCGACGAACGTCTGGAAATACATCTTGAGAGCCGCAAGACGTCCGACCGGGCATCACTTCCAACTCGGTCAGCATTTATACTTGTTTCCAAACTAAATATCGCTGTATGTCGGTCGCGTCGTCATCAATTGCGCTGTGCGCGGAAGACGAGAGGAAGGTCAGACGCAATCCCGAGGTTCTCCCGCAGGACTTCCGTACAGTCAAGTGCTCGTCAGGTGACTCTCACATGGCGGACTCGCAGCACTGTGCGATAGACGGGGCGGGCCTCCGGCAAGCACGAAGGTCAAGAGACGATATACTCAAGCGCTGACTTCATCCGCTGGAGTGTATGGAAATCAACTGCCTCGACGTACACGTGCCTGTCACTTAGACAGAAGAAGGTCAGCTGCAATGTGCTTTGGACTCTGATCACTCCTCGATACAGGATACGTAGCCTTCGGGGAGCCCGCCGCTCCGAGTCGGAGCGGCGCAATGGCGCAATGTGCTTAAAGTGACGGGCAAGCCAAAATTACTCAGTACTTACGGCAAGGCGCCGACAGCCCCGGAGCACCTTCTTCAGCTCGGCGCCCTGAAGCTCTCCCAATGCAAAGCGCTATCCGTACTGAACGAAACACTTGCTACGAGTTCGGCGCCTCGCGCGACCAGCGCGTAGTGTCAATGGCTAGGGGGAAAGGCAAGAGGGCCGCCGAAAGGCGTCGATCCCGATGCCTAGCGCTCTTCCCCTGCGGCTAAACAACTGTGGACGGCGTCGGCTTGAGTAGACGCCGTACTACAGACTTTGCCCCTCGCTCGTGGCGAACGCATGGTCAAGGCGGGCGGTAATCGCAGTCCTTGAGGCGTCAGCAAGCCACATGATCGAGGACGACATAGCGTACAGATGACGTACAGGATTTGGGTTCAGGTTGACGGCGGAAACGTTGTAGGAAGCAGAAGCGCGATGCATATGAGAGCACTCCGCGTACAATCGGAGGTCATGTCGAGAACGAAGATACTGAGCCTGCTAGTAAACTGAGAAGTGGGTGTACGAAGGCTGCACGCCAGCAAGGCTTCGTGAATCATACGCGTGAGAGTTGCATAACAAACGCGGAACAGAAGGCGAAGGGGTTAGGGGGTTGTGAGTGGGAGGATTATCGGTACCTGTTGGAACGTCTGATATATTCGATGTCCGATGGTACGTGAGCGTCGTGGGGTCTGGGCCTTTCCTGTCGATCGTGATATCTGCTGCGGAGGTGTCTGCCTTCCCCAGGCCCCGGCAGGAAAGACGAGCGCGCAAGAAGTGAAGCTAGGAACGACTCTACGTTCGTCGTACCGCTGGGTCGGATCTTGCGCGAGCGTCCCGCTTTTGTATGGTTATCGTGCCACGAGCTGGACCGCGCCTGTGAATACGGACATCCCGACATGTAACAAGTCCGATGACCTGGATCGGCAGCAAAGGAGAGCGGTTGTAGCGTCAAAGTTGGGATGTCTGGGAATATGAATATGATTTGAGATTGATAGCGGGGTTAGTGCTAGTGCTGGAGGACAGAACAGGATTGAATCAAGCACAGGATACATATGCGAATAGTTACCGAGATACAACTACAACGAAACAGTACAGCCTTAGCTCTTCTGTCTTGCACCCTTTTTGAATATGTGGCGCGACATGCGTATGTCGCACACCGCGTTTCGAGTACTGAATATCGGGAGTAGCGCAGACGTCGAGGCGGCTATGAGTCGCTTTCCGTCTTTGCCTTCTTTGAGGACTGCACAACTGGAACACCCTGACCGCGAACGCCGACGTTGGGACCACCGTCGGGCTCAACAGCGCGCTTGCGCTTCTCGCCTGCCTGATCGTCGTGTGTTGAAGCCGTGGCAGAGTCGTCGGGCTTCCCTGTGCGGGCTCCACCATTACGCTGGCTACCGCGTCCACCACCACGGCCGCCACGACCTCCACGTCCACCACGCCCTCCACGTCCACCACGGCCGCCACGACCGCCTTTGGAGTCGCGGTTCTGGGCGAACGACAAGACGCGCTTCGCGGCAGACGCGGCCCGTTCAAGCTGGAACGCCCGCTCAGCATCCTCTGTCGTGGACAAAACTTGTCAGAGGCCGGATTGTGAATATGGAGGGATGAAGAGGAGGTAACTGACCGTCTGGGACAGACCACGAGACCTCCTTACCGCTGAGTGTTTTCAAGTTCGTTTTGACAAAATCGATGTCGTCTTCCGACAGAACTTTGTCGAAGCCAACCAATCCGGAAGTCTCGCCTTTCGTGTACTTTACAAACGGTGCGCGAGCGAAGCGCTCCTTCAGCGTGCCCTGTGTGCATGTCATAAAGCGCGTTTAATCTAGACTCCATTCTTGCCTAGAAGATTCAAGGGGCTAGCACAAACCTTGATCTCGTCGAAGTTCACGTCGTCAATGGGCCCTTCGAACTTGAGTGAAGCACCCTTCACATATGGGACATCCTCCGGCTTCACGCTACCCCCATCTTCCTCGTGGACGAGAATCCTGTTCCCAAAGAACTCGAGGTAGACCTCCTGCTTGGCCTTCTCCTCGTCCTTGTTCTTTTTGCCGCCCTTCTCTTTTTGTGCCATCTCGGCAAAAGCGTTGAAACCCTTGCGGCCCGTGCCGGCCATGTTCTGCCGCCGGAGGTCGGCGGCCTTGCCCGTGAGACCCTTCTCCTTGATCTTCATCTCGCAATATGCCTCCCTTGATGAAGTGCGCGCGCGTCGCATCAGCACGGTGAATGGATACAAAAATGGACGTTGGGGCGGGGCTCACTTTGACATGATAAGGAGCTCCTCGCCGTTCCACGTTGGTTTGGGATCAGCGTTGAGGAACGCGCTGACTGACTTGAAGTCCGCAAACTCGGCGAACACCGACCCCTATAGGCGGAAAGTAGAACAAAGAGTTTCGCTGCCAGGTCGAGGGGCTAGCGGAGCACAGGGACATACCTTGAACTCCTTCGTCCCATCAATCCTCCTCATCCGCACCGCGTTCGTCTTCCCATACTTATTAAAGAAGTCTTCCAGCTTCTTTTGCAGACCAGGCTCCTCCTTCCCAAATCCTTTCTACCACACCAAAGATAGGTTAGGAGTCTATAGCCGCAAGTAGCCCACCAGACGTACTGCGTACACAGACCGCTCGAACTGGCCTTTGGGCGGCTGCACTTCAGTCCTCCTGCGCACATTCTCGCCAGCTTCGTCCACCTCGAGCTCTTCACTCTTCTTCAGCGCATCAACCACCCAGTCATTTCCGAGCGACTGGAACTCGCGCATGCGCTTGAAGGACGCAACGGTCTTGACGGGGACCCAGTGTTCAGGGTTGGCGGTATGGAGCGTCCACATGAACCTAGTGTATGGCGCACCATTCAGCACGTACAAAAAAGCTTAAAGAGAAGCATCGTACTTGTCAAACGGTAAGTTTGAGTCAGCAAAGTAGAACTCGACTGCAATACAGGCCGATGTCAGAATTGGTGATTGCCACAGATGGACAACATAGCACGCACCCTGGCGCACTGCCCTCAGCTTCTTTTCGTCCTCAGTCTCTACATCGTTCATCTTGATATCGTCCTCAGATTTAGGAACTACCGCGGGCTCGGCGACATCAGTAGCAGACATGTTAGAAGATGGGGTAAAACCAAGGACGTAAAACAACAAAATAAGAAGCGCACATTCGAGTCGTCCGTCGTATCAGGCGCTGTATCTTATCTTATCTGGGTTGGGCCACCTTCAAGGTGATTTGGGGCATGTCCGACAAATGCAGTGGTCCAAAGTTTGTCTTGATCCACCACATCACTGAGATCTGCTCCAATTCTTAGCTCCTGCGCTCCTTCTCTTGCACTGTGTCTCTTCGCAAGTATATGTGCGTTGGCGGTCCAAGCGTACAAGTATTCATCGAAGACACCAGACTGCTATACCTGGAGCTCCTCCGATAGTGCTCTAGTACGAGGTGAAGAAGAAATGTTGCTCATTGATGAGATGAATCCTACTATTTGCCAGGATTTTCTTCGTGAAGACTGAACGAATGCATCGTTTTATCGCGCATATAGTAAGTTCCGAAGTTATCTGTAAAGCATTAATTCTTGTCACTTGCGCGTGCGAAGTACTTTTGCACTTAAGAGCATCGGCGCCTTTGAACAAAACAAATCCTGTTGTACAGTGATCTCAAAGACGGCATGATCGTGATATATGCACTTCGCCTTCACCACCCAATGTACCTGAAGGGATCGGAGAAGTCACTGCAGAGGCACAAGTTAGTTATCACGCGAAGCCCTCACTCATATCAAATGCACGGTCCGGAATATGAGTCCTGCTAACGATCGTCCTATGACAGGTACAATCTCCGCCATCCAAGGTCCCCTCCCACACCAACTCAACAAATCTCCGACGAAGCGGGAGGATCCCAAGGCACGCTTACCTCCTCCTCAAGCCTAGGCTCACGCAATGTACACGTAACTCAGCCTATTCTCCGACTGATAGCGGCCTGGACAGTATCATCCAGAAGCTGCAGAACCTAAGGCGCTCTGTCCCAACGCGTCAGAGTACTCAGCGCCTTTCCGATGGGATGGAACAATCGGGCAAGTTCAAGTTGACATCGAAGGTACGCCACGCTTTAGGAGACCCTTGCCGATATCGCTAATCCAACCTCCGTCGGACGACAGAGTGGCACACCGGCGAGGCGGTACAATCAAATAATCCGCGGTACACACTCGTCCATAAGCCGCGCAGTGCAGCAGTCCAACGCAACCCCGGTACCGCCACCGGTCTTTCGCGCTAAGCGGCGCGAAATACTATATCTCCGCTTCCAGATTATCACGGGCGCGTCAGAATCGACCATCGCGGATTTGTAGCTTCGCCATGCGCTGCCCCAGAGATTGGCTCGATTGCTTAACGGAGTAATGCGGACTTGAGGCTGCTGTGCCGAATCCCAGTGCAAGTAGTACATGAATGATAGGGCGGGCACTGACGGTGCCTGCAGTGCCACCTCGGACAGGGTCCCCTTCTCGCGAACGGCTCCGAGCCATGCAGAACAAGGCTATAGCGTATTGGCGGCGTGCCACGCCGTTCCGTCGGTCAGTACGGATGTCCATCAGGCAATGCGCACTCATCCTGGAACTCTCGTAAAATTCACCACAACCTGGTGCTTCGAAATTCCTTTGGTGGATGAAAGTCGAGGGGCATCCACTGTGAGTGATCTTCATATCGTGCGAACCGCCCTCTGTTAATCGCTTTCCAAAAACACATCGCTCCGACTCAAGGTCCGCAAGGACTGAACGATACCGGCGCTATCCATAGACGACGTAGGTCGGATGATCCCATCGGAGCGAGGCACCCCAACGTCTTCTGCCGCGAGTAGTTTGAACCGCTCAGGGAGGGTTCGGGTCATCCTAACCGCATTGCATTCAATAGTGTGGTGAGCTGCGACACAACCCTCTCCTGAATCGTGTCGTGGCTCGCTCACGGTCAGGAGCGCTAGCTGTGATGCAAGGGCATGGAGGAGAGTCGTCCTCTGCTATTTCCTTATCTCGATGCCGCGTTTTTCGATCGATTAGCGTTCCCGATCCTTCAGGCGCCCCGATACGACTTCCGTGCCCAGATGTTCGCTCCTTCCACGCCATCACCTCCCCAATTCCCATGACTGACGCCATGGAAGGTGGGCATCGAACTCACTGGTGCGTCCCCGCCTGTTTTCACGCGACAGTCCTCCGCCATGACTTTGTAGAGCAAAGCATGTCGATCCCACCGTTATGGCGGCAAACCCTGAGTCCGGGGTGATTTTATCGCCGTAAGGACGATGAGTGGTTGTGAGGATTGGAGTAAAGGGGAACCATCTCCTCCGAATCTCGCAGTCATTGTGCGCGACCGTTTGTCCACGGGCTCATGTATCCGAAATTGCTGATATGGGATTAGAACGATCCCAGCTTGTACCCGAAGCGTCGACATGTGCTCTTCCTGGGCGGCATGTGGGAGACGTGAACGTCTGAGCGCCGCGCACGATTGGCCCTGGCTCTAGCGTGCGCTACACATCCCCGCACAATCGTCGAAGCGACCAATTCTCTTCGGCCCTTCCCAGGACAAGCGCCGCCGGCCAGCTGTTTGGGTTCCTGCTGAGACCGAAGGCGAGAGATCTCCGCCAAGAGTCTGCCAGATGGTGATTCGCTACAGGGCAGACTTCGAGCGCGTTCATACGCGGCACGACCCTGTCTACTCATGCATAGGTACTCACGTAACTTTCCCAGGAGGCGGAGACCGAATTGCAATCAAGAATCGCCAGGCATTCTGCCTATTCGAGGACGATCGAGTGTACCCGAGCCGGCACGCCGCATCGAGCGACATTCAAGCCTGCTTCTGGCGATTGAAATGGCACATTCGGCCCTGCCCCTTGGCTCACGGCGCCTGTCCGCCCGAGTGCAGACTGCTCGCGAGCGAAACCTATATCTGTGCACAAACCTTGGACCGTATTTATCTCCTTCGCTCCGGTTTCAGCGTCCGCCCGCGCATCCCCTTCCACGCCCACCAGTATTCGTTCTCCGCATCAGCCTGAGGCGTTCCCGCAATGTACGCCGCAGGCTACCCCCCTCCCGACCCCCTGCGCTCTATGGACCCCCGCCTCGGATCGCGCATACCCGACACTGCCTACGCACCCCCGCACCACTCCTGGCGCATGTCCATGCCGCCCCAGTACCCCGATCTGGCTGCGATGCCCCCCGCCGCGGGCGGCCACGTTCCATCTCCGCTCTCCTCGCCCTCGAACCCGGGCGGCGGGTCTCCCGACGAGTACTTTGGCTACTCCGCCGCAAACCCTGGTCCCGGCCCTCGCCCTCAACAGCAACACGAACACTGGGCGATGTCTACGCACGCGGCACCACGAGGTGGGTACCTACTGAGTGGCCGAATGGGTCACCGGGAGATTAGCTAATAGCCTTCATTCCCTCTGTTCGCGCTTGTGCGTGTTCAGCGCACTCGATTTCCGGCCCGTATGTGGACGGTGGTGAGTATCCATGCGTCTCCTCGTGCCCATCGAGATAGTATGAGGGATGATTTGTATTTCGGACGCTGACGTCTCCTATCCTAAACGCCCGCAGGTTACGCTCCTCAGATTAAGGCAGAGGCTAATCATATTCCACCGCTCGACGCCCTCTACAGCACGGAGCACGGTTACATTCAGGATCTGTCCCACTTCCCCATCGACTCGTACGCTCAACCAATACAAGATAACGGCAACGGTCATGCTGGCAACATCAACGGAGGAGGCGTTGGCCCAGATCGGAACCGACCCCGCGCCGCCCGTCAAGCTTCGGCTACGAAGCGTACTGGTGCTTGCGCCCGTTGTCGTCGGCTCAAGGTTTGTTTGCGTCCTCATTTGCTCGTCGTGAGCGGCCACTGACCGACGCCGCGCATTGCCATTTTATTTCATGTTACCCTGATGCATTGCACTGTGCGCAGATGAAATGCACGTTCACGAACCCTCAGGATGACGAGGTCTGCTCGCGGTGTACTGCGGGTGGATACGAGTGCGTCTTCCCTGGACGCAAGCCGCGCGCACCTGGGTACGTCAAGACATTCCTATCGGGTACCTCATTCTTTGACCATGGCGCTGACGCTGACCGTCTTATCCAACCATGCTACCACTTACGTGTGTGCGTGGGCGGTACACAGGATGCGCATGGTCCTGAGGCAACAAATCCGCGAGAAAGACGCGATGATCGACAACCTACTGTCACGCGTCAATCCCGGGCCCACGATGGCTACCCCGCTTACGCTGGTCCCCGCGCGCCTCCCTCTCAGTTCGAGGGAGCGTGCTGAGTATCGCGACATACTCACCTACCTGGAGCGTTCCGCTCAGCAAGCGGGCCAGCGGGTCCTCGGCGACGCCCGCGCTAGATTCGACATATCCGCGCTCGAGGATATTCCAGGATCGGATGAAGACACAGAGTCGGAGGAGGACATCGTAGCTAACGCGACCGCAGCACAGGAGGGCAAGGATGGTTCTGTGAGCCCGAAGCGTGCGGGCTCTGTCGAGCACATGCAACCCGTTGACACCGTATTGGAACTCATGGCCCCGACTGGGATGATGGCTGCCGCCGCCCTGCAAACCAGCCGCGCAGCGACTAACGCGAAGCCGGACACGGCTAGCGACAGCTCCGGAGACTCTCATCGCTCTAAGGGTGTTGCTGGGGATGAGTATTTCCTTCCGGGTATGTTTTACATGCGGTCGTTTTGGCTGGACCGCAATTGACACCGTCATCGGATTGCACCAGGTCCCCAAGCCAACCTTCAGCTGCGCCGCCTCATCGTCGAGCGTCAAGCCGCTCCGGACATTTTACTCTCCGGACTGGTGACACCTGAAGACGTCACGGCCCTGTTTGAGATGTACGTTCATCTTTCGCTTCACTACGACCCTAGCAGTTCGCGGGTCCGACGTTCCTTGCGCTGACATTCACTTCACCCGGATATTTCCTAACATAGCCACTTCAAGTGGATTAACGTAAGTGCTGATCAGCGTGTTCACTGTCTAGCACTATAACGCCGTCATAACGACTTGGATGCATTTTTTTCACAGCCAATTATACCAATCTTGGATGAGAACATCCACAGCCCCGCGTCTGTCCTTGCGCGATGCCCCTTCCTTTTCACCGTCAGTGCGTATCATCTCCGGTTGATATGTCCTTGTCGTTCTATAGAGACATTCTTGCGCGGGCTGACATTGACATGTTCCCAGTCTGCACCGTTGCGTCTCGCTACTATAAAGAGAAGCCACAAATCTACGGCATGGCCATCCACTTCGCGAAGGCCGCCGCAGCCAACGCTGTCATCGACGGATGGAAGACGGTGGAACTGTGTCAGGCATTTGCTCTGTGGAGCGTGTACAACCCGCCTGCGCGGCGATGGGAGGAAGATCGCGCCTGGTGCTATACCGGGATCGCCTTCCGGTACGTCATATGGTTTTGACACGTTCGGACAGATTCTCCAGCGTGGTCTTCGGAACTGACATGCCTTTCAGACTGGCGACAGAACTGAATTTGAGCCGCATCCCAGACAAATTCGCGGACGAACGGCAGGAGCGGGAGAGTCACAACCGGACCCGCATGTGGCTGATGTGCTTCATCATGGACCGCTGTCTGAGCATCCAGTCGGGCAAGGCTTGGATGGTACAGGAGGACGCAGTGCGTGTCAGGCTGATGGCTACTGTCTTCCATTACTCGATACTGACACAGTCGTTCTTGCCCCTCAATGCATGATAACCTTCGGTCCCCCGATGGTACACGCTTGATCGTCACAGACCATCCGGGATACGGCATCGTGGCTGCACAACTTCAAGTACCACAACCAGTGCGACGGCTACCTGGCGAGCCTAACGGAGCTGCTGATTATAATGTCGCGCTTCGTCGGCACGGTCAATCCCGCTTTCGGGACGAGCTCCGTTGAGTCCCTGGACGTGCGTACCAAATAGCCTTCATATATCCTTTTGTGTCGCCGCTGACATCATCCGTGCTTCCTTTCTTTCTTGACGCTTCCAGGACATCGACTTCGCGGCGTTATACAAGGCATACGATGATGAGCTCCTCGCCTGGAAGGCCGTCTGCGACGAGCGACATGCAGGCGAAAAGACGTCCAAGGGTCCGTTCTCCCCATCTTGCAGTCTGACTCCTCCCTCACGTTGGCGCCTTGTCTCCTTAGATCCTGCAATTGTGATGCAGATCACGCTAATCACCTGGTGAGTGGAGTAATGTACATCAAAGGATAGCCCTAGCCCCGCCGCTCTTTTCCCACTTCTCGCGGCGTCTGTTCGGCTGCTAACCACCGCGTGTCACAGCGTGTACTACTATTGCCGCCTCGTGATTTGCTGTTGCGGCATGCAGCTGATGTCTAGACGCAAGACAATGAAGCCCAATGAGCTGTTCGCTGGGGTACGTAATCCTACTGTCCTAGGTCTCGTGTTAGCGTCTAGCGGGTCTCGGCCAATTGAGAACCCTTCGTTGGCCATACCCGCGGATGTGATCGTGCTCATATCGGGCCTATCTACGACTACAACTGACGCCTCTCTCCTTCTGGGGTTCTAGTGTGTGCAGGCGGCGACTAGTCTGGTGAAGCTCATGGTAGAGGACTTTGTCCCGAGTGGGTTCGTGCCCTACTTTCCCGAGCTCGTGTACGTCCACTCGGCGTTCGCATCTGTCGTCCTTCTCAAGGTGTGTGCCCACGTGTTTGTAAACCACATCGCGATGCTTACTCCATCGGTATCATAACGTGCTTCTGTCCCCCCTTGGCTCCCCGCTGATCATTCTTCCCTCCTCCGTTGACTTGCCGATCCTTGCTTTCACCTCAAATGTGACCTCAATGCCTCTACCGTGCGCGTAGTGTCTGCGCCCGGAGTATAACGCCTACCTGGACATTCAGCAGGAGGAGCGCATCATCGGGCTCGTCCAACGCCTCTTCGACGTCTGGACGTCGGACAAGCTCTCCGTCGACGAGCGCCACAACACGCAACTATACGCCCATTTCCTGAAGCAGCTCATGGAGCCTCACCTCGCCCGCCTTGCCGAGAGGAAGCGTGCGGCGTATGGCTCCGGTCCTGCTTCCTCTACGGAAGCGACTTCGCCTCGCACCTCGGCATCCGCGCCGACTCCTGCGGCCAGCGACGTCAGCAGCAGCCACACGGCGTTCAAGACGGAGCACCCGCCTGTGTCGCCCACTGCAGGGTCCGGCTCGTCTGGCTCGGCGGCGAACAGCCCTGAGATCCCACACCATGATCCCACTGCGACGTTCAACCTTGGAGATCTGTACGCGACCGACGTGGACATCTCTAAGGCTGCTGCGCAGCTCGCCTCCGGGTCAACGGGCGTGGTACCGGAGGGCATGGCCAACCTCTCCTGGGAACAGCTCATGTCCATGGGGTCCTCAATGGGCGGCCTTCCCGACGCTCTTGGCGGGGCGATGGGCGGAATGATGAATGGGACGACGCCTATGGGCGCGACCGACTGGAACGGGATGGCGAGCGATGACTGCCTGGCGGCGATGATGGGGCTCGCGGATAGTGCGTGGTTCATGACCCCGCAGTCCTCGTGAACCCTCCGGTCTCTATCATCCTTCGGGGAGGCCCATGCCTCTTCTCGCTTCCGTGTCCCAACTCGTCCCCGCTTTGTGCCTCATTCTGCTTGCCATCATTCGTGCCCGCGAATCTCGCTGTTCCTCGTGGTCGGGCACGCGCGATCGTTGGGGGAACTCGCTTGGTCTGCTCGGAACTGCCAGGTCGTGTTCTGCTGCTTCGCGTTCGGACTTCTGTTTTCGCTCTTGCCTGCTATCCGCTTTCGGCTCTCTCCTTCCTACTCGGCTCCCTACCCCCGTCGTCACGTCCCACTTCCATCCCCTATCCACTTCCGAGCCCTTCCATCCGTCGTATCTCGTCTGAATATGCCCGTCGCCCCCTGCTTTCGTAACCCCCATCATTAGCTTTTCGTGGTCGTGCACGTTACCTTGCTGTTGCTGTATATTTCAACCCAACCTGTACTTGTACCCGACGCCGAACATACCATATACCGCACACCGCACGCTACCGTATATCCTCCCGAATAAGCTAACGTTATGGACTAGATGTAATCTCATGTACATTACGGATCGCACCCACGCCTCTCGTGCCCCTGGGTCCTCGAGCGCGCCTTCTCTTGAATCACGCGTATACGGATCTGCCCACTCCTCTGCATGGGAGACTCCCGCAGACCGCCCGGGAGCAAACAAATTTCTCGTTAGAACTAGAACTCGGGGCGGCGCGTCCTGTAGCGCGTGCTTTGTATTCAATACGCCCCCGTAACCGCCGGGATCATGGAACTCGCCTGCCGTTCCATCATCCATGACCATGACCATGACCACGCCTTCGGCCCTTCTCCTTCTGCGGCTCCCGTGCGGGCTCCGTGCGGCCGAGAGGCCAGTCGCCGTGCCCGCTTCCGGTTTTCTGTGCAGATCGACGGCCCCGGGAGGGTGCCACCCAGAGCTTCCCGTTTATCCGCGTCGCGTCTACATGCGCAACGGTCATCACACAGCGACGCTTCCCGCTGTCCCGAGACGTGCTTCTGCTTCCCGACGCGGACGCTAGCCGCTGCCATGGGCAGATGGCTCTTGCTGCGCAATCACGGGAGAGCTGGAGGTGGGCGCGCTGCCCTGGCGATCGCGAGGAAACTGGGAAGCGGGAGCTCGGGGGCATTTGAGTGAGGGGGGCTGGGAAAGCACATGCGCAGGGCGTGCCATTGGACACCCTTCGCGTGTGGTTCAGGACTGGAGATCCTTCTTTGATTGGTGGAGAGCGGGCGAAGCGCTCATCCAAGACGGGCGAAAGGAGTCTACTTCACTATAGCTACACCGTGCCCCTGCGCGGGCGGGCCGAGAGTCTGGATTTCATTATGTGTTAGTGCGCGGAGGGAGGGGTGGGAGGCGATTGCCACTGGGCCCGGGGCCCTGCGTGCACTCGCAGAGTAGGACTAGTTAGAGCATCGATTGCTTCTGAATGCATGGAGCGGAGACAGAACGTGGGGGAAGGGAGGGTGCGGAGGACACGCGAGAGGAGACGCTCCGACGCATGCGAAATGCGCGGAGAGCGGCGGAGATGGTGCGACTGGGACGTCCGCTGGTGGTGGTGGTTCAGCTAGCGTGGGTCGTGGGTCGAGGCCCAACGGCCAGGGTGGAATAGGTTTGGCCGGGGGGTGACGCTCCCACCCGCCCCATGTGGCTAGTAGGGCGACAGACAATCTATCGGGATAGGCAAGTAGAGTTCGGGCGTCCACGCCTCCCTCGGCCAGGGCTCGCCTTGACGTGTGTGCGCCGCTTCACGAGCCCTGGTCTCGAGATCGCTCCGCGGCGCGTCGTCCACGGTTGCACCTAACCATTGGGCCGCCGCCGTCGCCGCGCCGAGAGGTTTCAGGTCATAAAGCAGGGATCTGGGACGATCAGGGAGCCGCATCGTATCTTGGTCGGCGTGTTGACGTAACGTACTTACGAACCGAGGACGATCGTGAGAGAGGGCTCGGCTGTGCGCGAGCCGCTACGGCCGTGCAGGTAGGATTAGGACAGGACGCCGAACACTGGTGGCACGAGTCAGCTAGTGCGGATCGAGGGAGGGGTGCTCACGCTGTCCAGCTGGGGATCGACGCTCTCGGTGGGGATACCAGGAGCCCCGGGGGGTTGGCGGAGAGGGGGAGGAATACAAGGTGCAACATGTCCATCCAGGGCAGGCCGGGTGAGGGAGGGACCGCCAGGGACGGCAAGGGCAGGGGATCTGACGAACGGCGTATACCAATGCAGTAGGTATCAGATGTCTGGGTGTTTCGCAGAAGGGTCAATCAGCGAGTGCGCAAGCGTTGACGGTCTTCGCGATACCAATTACGACGTGCGTGTCTTGGGTTTGATCTCTACTACCGTAATACCAGTCATCTATGTTCGTTGTGAACCGCACAGACCGAGAATCGACAGATGCGTACGAAGGCCATGTGCGTGGCCCCAGAGGTCAATGAGTGGTTAACGTTACGACCGCCGATCAGCCCGAACGCCAGCGAAATGACGCGCTCCGAGTCGACGACACAGAAGACGCTTGCAAGGCGGGGTGTACCGAACAGCGTTCACAAGAAGAAGCAGTCGTCCATGCGGAGAGGCTCCGCGAAGAGAGCGTGGTGTCACCCGTCCGACGTCTGCCACTGCGCATCTGGGAAGCGGCCAGGCTACTACTCCAGCAGAGATCCATGCTGCTGCGTGGACGTGGGAGTCCAGGACGGGAGGGTATGCGGGCAAAGAGGGCGATGTGGACGTACCGACGCTCAGGCAGCAGCCCGCGCGAGGTCGACGAGATAGCTCCCGAGCGGGCGACATAGCCACAGAACACACCGCAAACCACACCGAGCACCCACTCCGGCCCCTGTTTGTCGCTATGGACGTCATGGCGCGGTTCGAGCTCAGAGCAGTCGGAGAACGTCCGCTGGGCGAGGGCGACCGAGCTCCGCCGCGCGCCCGCTCGATCCAGCGACCGGCGCGACGAGCAGCCTCTCCGGCAAGACGCGTCCTCCGCTGGCTTCCCCACGCCCTTCTCCCCGACCCCACCATCTGCCCCCGCTCCTCCCCTCCCCAGCCCCCCTCTGTCGACAGCCCCGGCGAGCTTACCGTCCCACCTCACGATGTCGTCCAGGAGCAAGCGCCGCGCGGAGCCCGAGCTGGACAAGAAGAAGAGAAAAAAGTAACGTCGCTCTCGTCTTTGTGCGCGGTGTTGGTCACGAACCGTGCCTCTCGCGATCCGCCCCGTCCCGTCCCCCCGGCCTATCCCACTTGGCGGCTGAAGGACGAAGCGCGATGAGGAGGACGACATCGATGCGAGCGACGGCGACTCGGACGAAGGGATCGACGAGGGTGCGTGTGTCGTCGTCTCCATACGCTCACGGGAGACTCCTGACGTGGCGTATGCGCAGACGAGCTCGGGGCCCTGAGCAAGGACAACATCATCGAGACGGGCCGGCGCACCCGCGGCATCCGCATCGACTACACCAAGGTCAAGGACTTCGACGAGGACGACGATGAGGATGAGGACGAGGAGCCGAAGAAGAAGTCTAGGAAGCCCGCGTCCGCCTCCAAGCCCTCGTCTTTGAGCAAGGCCCAGCCGGGATCGAGTTCCGGCAAGGGCAAGGCGCCGCCTGCGCCACCCGCGCCGGTCAAGAAGGCGAAAAAGGTCGTAGAGAGCGACGACGAAGAGGAAGAGGCGGAGGAGAGCGACAAGAACGACGACGAAGAGGACGGGGAAGAAGAGGAGGACGACGACTAGAGGCTGACGACTGGAATAATGGCGGAGGAGACTGTAAACGAATGTGCGCTGTGGTACGTTCGCCTCATGCACATCGCATTCCGGGGTATGTCTGACGTTACATCCGTAGGTAGTAGTACATTGTATATTACATGATGACGCAAAACGGCGGGGCACACGCCGCATATAGTTTACAATTTGGCCCCTGCAAGACGCTGCCCTCGCTCGAGCATAGGTCTGATGTGTAACTGAACCTGTTCTCAGCAATCAAGCCATGCGATGCGGCATCGGAGGCATACCTCGTAGCCTGCGGATATTTCGGACTTGTTCAGAGGCTCGGACTGCGCCGCCTTGTACAAGGTTTCGTACACATTCCCATCGTATACCCCGAGCGCACTGCAGCATGTTCGTCAACATTCCCCCTTATCTCATTCGAAACCACTGACCTGTCTAGCTCCCAATCCGAGAACCCAAACCCATCGGAGAGCCCGATCGCCTCGGGGAGCAGCTCCTCGCAAAGTCCCTTGATCGCCACGCGCAGACTCCTCGACGGATCGCCCCCAGGACCCGCCTCACCCAGCAGACCAAACGAGAGGATGTCCACCAGCCCGCTCTCCACCGCCGTCAGCAGATGCTACCCCAAGCAAGGTCAGCTCTCGGCTCTCCGTCCCCGAGCGGCCGATTCGACGGACGGCACCCACCAACGTGTACAGCTTCCGCAGGACCGCCGCGTCCTTCTCCCCAACGTCGCCCTCCAGCCCGCGCACGATCTCGGAAACCTGCACGGCGACGAACGCGTCCGTCACCGCGCGCGACACGCGCTGGTCCATGCTCGCGTCTGGGTCCCGAGCGTGCCGAGCGCGCTCCTGCACCATGTGCGCCGCACGCCTCTCCAGCAGCTCGACCGCCGTACGCGGGTCCCCCACCCCCCCTTCGCCTCTGCCTCTGCCTCTGCCTCTGCCTGGGCCTCCGCATCCTGCGCGACAAGCAGCCGCAGATACGCCGCGCTCGGGGTGAGCGCCCCCGCGCCCCTCGTCAGCGCGTCGTGCGCCTTGAGCGCGGCGCGCACGACCTGCTGGTCGAGCACGAAGTTGTCGCCCTCGTACGTCGCGGCGGGGACGTAGTCCGCGTAGAGCCGGCCGACGCCCGCGAACGCGCTGAAGCCGTGCCCGCCCAGCGCGCGGCGCGCGGTCTCGAGGTCGCCGATGGCCGTGCTCGAGACGAGCACCTTGAGGCCCGCGGTCGTCGCGTGCATCTCGGGCAGGAGGGCGGTGTCCCCGGCGGAGAGGCGGGCGAGGAGGGCGGCGAAGGACGCTGTCTGTGCGGACGATTACAAAGTTGGGGTAGAGGTGGGGGGAGGGATCAGTACGGGGATGAGCGGATGGGGAGGAGAGAGGCGTGCGCACCAAGTTGCGGCCGAGGGCGATGAAGACGTAGGCGTGCGCGAGGATGGGGAGGAGGCGGTGGTAGACGGAGGGGTAGGTGATGACTTGGCGTTCGAGGCCGTCTTTGCCTTTGTTGCCCTGTCTGCGGACTGTTGCGTACCGGATGGCGATGGTGGCGGCTGAGGGGGCGGTGAGGTCAGCGGGAGGATATAGTGGTTGATGTGCTCTATAGCCACACCTTTCGCAATCGTCCAGCCTCCGGAGCTCACCATGCTAGAGGTGGATCTGTATGTGGAGATGGCAAGCTCAGTGAAGGGGCGCACCTCGAACGGATGTAGAGCATCTGCAGACAGGTTTGCACTCAGCGAGTCTCAGCCATTAATCGACGGTAACACGACTCACCCCTCCGTAACTCAGCTTCGCATGCGGCGGCTTGACGTACCCACCTTCGTCCGTCACGCCCGCGAACGCGCTGAGCATCTGCTCCTTCGGGATCCTCACCCTATCAAACCGCGCAAACCCATTATCCACAGCAGCGTACCCGCCCATCGCCTTCGGCCCAATGTCCCCAATCGTAATCCCCGGCAGCGTCCGGTGGTCCTCCAGCGACCGTAGCTGCACGAAGAACAGGTGCGGCCCGGCGTCCGCGCCCGAGGGCAGGATGAGGCGCGCTTGGACGACGCCGTGCGTCGCGGTCCTGCCGAGCGCGCCGATCCACCACTTGCTCGCCGTGAGCGTGGGCGAGTGGAGCTCGAACTCGCGCGTCGCGGGGAGGTACGTCGCGGTCGTCTCGAGCGCGGCGACGTTCGTGCCGTGCCCGAGCTCGGTCTGGAGGTAGCAGCCGAGGATGCCGCGGTGCGCGATGAGGGCGCCGTACTGCGCGTTGAGCGTGGGGCCGCCTTGGGATCTGATTACGGGCTCGAAGGCTGCATGGCGAGATTGAAGGGCAGGAGTTGGGATGAGGAGTAGAGCACTCACCGGCCATGTGGAGCTGGATGGGGAGGGGCTCGTCCAGGATCCTGAACGCGAGATTGGCATCTTCTGCGGACCATTTGTGTTGCTCCTGGAGCTCGTGCAGACGGTTTGTCATTGCCAATGCGCGGTGGTAGAGCTCGGTGCGCGTGAGGAAGGGCCTGCGCGACCTGTCGAACACGGGGTCCTTCGCGAGAATGGACTCTATCCGCTGGCGAGCCTGCCACTCCCTCTCACCTGCGGTAGAGCACCAGTCAGGTGTAGGCCAAGCTATCAACGCTCGTGAGACTCACCCCACAGGAAGATATGCAGCTTCTCCGTGTCCACGCTCGACTGTCCCCGAGCGAGCTTCATGTCCTCTTGGTTCCGTGAGCTCGTCATGATCTGGGGGTGAGGTACTGTGCAATGAGTTTGTCGAGGTTCTCAGCCAACTCGCAATAGCCCACAACAGGCGTGGTATGGAGACAAACACAAGCTCGATGCATTCAGGGAGATGGTTGGGAGGTTGGTTGAGCAGACGCGGCCGGTCCTCAGGTGACCCGGTCCGGGAACCCATGACCGCGCTCTGGGAACGCCTGTCCAACCCGCGAGTTGAGCAAAATGCGTACTTCGCCTCTCATACAGGACAGGCTGGGGACACTATATGTCCCCTTCGGGGTGACATACGAAAAAATTGGAACGATACAGAGAAGATTAGCATGGCCCCTGCACAAGGATGACACGCTTTCCCGGAGTGGTAGACCTACGGGTCTCAATATTTATTTTCCTCCTTCCTCTCATTTTGCTTCCATGATACTGCGACGTTGCGGGCGAACCTGGCTATATTCTTGACAACATCGGTCCTTGGAACTGTTCACTGCGACACTTCTGGCTTGCCAGTCTTGATTATGACTGAACGTGGTCGCCACGCAGTCCTGAGTCTCCTGGGCTCTCTTTCTCGGCCACTTTGTTGACGATAGTCATTGTCTTGATGGTCTTCAATATGCCTAATAGAAGAAGCTTGTTTCTGTTGGTCTGAGCTACGTTGCTGAGACTAGGCCTGAGCGAACGTCTTCTTCCTAATCCGCCGAACAGCGAACCTCATCGGCATCGTTGCTCGAGCGCAGTGCCTTCTTGGAAAGTCGTGAGTTAGCTTGGTCTCCTCTCGTTGCGTCTTTTTTTTTGCCTTGGACTCGGAGCGAAACCACTAATGTTGTGTTCTGCTAGTGTTGCTAGCATTGTAGACCCAACTGTGCGGAGAGACCACACCAGATAAGCCCCCAGTCGCGCCCCCCGATACATATACAAAGCGGACTGGAGTTGCTAGCTTTCTTCCCGCTCAGCTCCTCCGCGATATACCTCTAGGAGCACGATCACAATGGCTCATAGCGCCTCATGCATACATCCAAGCGTTGGTGCGACGTCCCCCCGTCCTTGCTTCCACGCTGTCTCTCGCTAGGAGCACTCGATCTCGCGGCGTGTGTCACATTGCTCAACCTCATGGTCAGATCGCTCGAGGAGTCTGCAGCGGAAACAGCCCGTTGTCTACAGACGTGAGCCTCTCGACATGGGCTTATCGATATCGCAGTGTTCTGACACTGCAGTGAACCCTTTCCTACAGATTGGCGTCGTTGGTCTTGAAGTCCTCCCAGGTCCTGGCTTCCCAATTGCATCGCTAGTCCCTCCTGACCCCTCTTGAGAACGTCCCAGCACGCGCCCCAAGGGTGTAGCACGCGCCCCAAGGGTGACACGCGCCCCAAGGGTGTGTCTTTGAAATCGCGGGCTGTACGGCTGCTCGCTTACAGATTGGTATATATGGATTCCACATTCGCTGGGCGCTGCAGGCCCAGTCTTGTCTTTCGGACACAATGGCTTCTCTTGCTGGTATCATCGTTGGCACGCTGTGTCTCGTGGTCCTCACACGGCTGGTATGGCGTTATCACTGCAAGCAACGAGCCCCTGTGCCACCACGACCTCCAGGACTCCCTATCCTAGGCAAAGTTAACGATATCCCGGCACCTCCATGGTTGAAGTGCAGCGAATGGTGTCGCGAATACGGTGAGCACGAGGGAATACAGCGGCCACCTCAGATTTAGACAACGCATTTGCGTAGGCACCGATATCATCCGCCTTAACATGCTGGGATTCGACATCATCGTTCTTGACACTCTGGAGGCCGCGAATGAGCTTCTTGATAAGCGGTCATCCATCTATTCGGGCAGGTCGGTTCTTGTTCCCACCCGATCTGCCTCGTGTTCCATGAGGATTCACTTCTTCCCACTAGGCCGCGAATGATTATGTTAAACGAACTGCAAGTAACTTGATTGACCCACTGATGTATGTGACCTTGCATGCTCCTCACGAATCGCTCATCAACAGGGCGGGGCTTGGATGGAATTTCGGCACCATGGATTATGGCGACGACTGGCGCGTTTGCAGGAAGATGGCTCACCATGAGTTCCATGCGACGTCCTTCCAGAAACACCGGCCCATCCTCGCTCGACGTGCCTACGAGTTCATACACCGGCTCACAGAAGAGGGCCGCGATCGTGTGCCCGTTCATCTGAAGCAATAGGTACGCCCCTGTGCCTGTTCGGACAACTCATAGTTGACAATTGTGGTAGTATGGCAGGCGCGAACATCATGAAAGTGACGTACGGCATCCGAGTTTCCCTTGAAGACGATCCGTTCATCAAACTTGCGGAAACTGGTCAGGAGGCCGTGAGCAAGTGCCCGATTGGCTTCTGCCTCGTCGAACTCTTCCCCATCCGTGCGTGCAATTCAAGACGTCAGTGTATGTGGCGAGGTCAAAAGTCGATTTACAGTCGAATACGTATCCGCTTGGTTCCCTGGCGCGGGTTTCGAGCGGAAAGCCGCCGTGTGGCACGAAGCCGCCACGCGTAAGCTTCATGTCCCGTATGCAGACTTCATAGAGCGCCATGTTCGTATCGATTTCCTGCCTTGCGGGCTCTGCATCCATGTGTTCGCTCAGGCGTCAGGAAAGGCTGAGGAATGCGTGTCGAAAGCGCTTGCTGAAACGTTCGGCACCGACGAAGGTACGGTCCGTCGGGCGAACATGGCCACAGCGTCTATGTATATGGGTGCGTATCTATCTAAGATGTATTTCACGTGTTCATGGAATGGATAATTTCCCTATTTTGCGCAAGAGGAGCGGAAACGGTATCTGGTTCCACTATCGATGGGCCTTCCGGCCTGCTAACCGTATCGAGCGATAGACTGCTGCAGTCATGCACTGGTTCTTCTTGGTTATGATCCTCTATCCAGATGTGCAGTCATGCGCAAGACGTGAACTCGAAGGCGTGCTTGGCATCAACCGTCTCCCGACGTTCGAGGACCTCGGTTCAGTGCCATACCTTGACGCTCTGATCAAGGAGCTATTACGCTGGCACCCCATAATCTGTCTCGGTACGCCCCGCCGTGTATGGAAGATTTGCGTCTTGTCCTGATAATCAGCTCTTCAGACCTTCCGCGCAAGCTGCGCGAGGATGACGTATATAACGGATTTCATCTCGAGAACGACTCCATAGTCAGTCATAGTTGTAGCGCTTTCGTCACGTAAGTAGTACCTTTTGCAGTCAGGTCAGCCTAGTCCCCCGCTTTGGCTGACGTCGAATTGCTCTCAATGATGTAGAGAGCCGCGGCCGTTCCCTTGTCATGTTCGCTACCGTTCAGATAGAGATGCTGGATGCCATTCATTCAATGGCATGTGTATGGGTACCATTGCATTCTGGATTGGCACAATCATCGATCAACATACCAAGTCAACCCGATGCGCCACATCCGACAGTTGATTCAATGTTCAAGCCCAGTGAGAACGTACATGGGCTCCGCTGTTTTAGGTCGGCGAAAGTCGTAGAAGAGTGGTTGAGGTCGGGAGCTGTCGGTTCAGATTGGGCAGATGGCGGTAGGCGCCCAATTCACGTCTTAGACTCTCATGACGGTGCCTCGATCGGACATGTCTCGACAGCGGTGACGTCCATTTGTCTCTGACTTAGAAATGTCTCTAGCCTGTGTCTAACTGTGTAATACAATACTTGCTTTGCGCCATACCCGTAGCACGCGTGTCATTTCAGCCGGCTGCCCAAGGCCTCCGCAGGATCCTCGTACCTTGTCTCGCCGCCAGACTCTGTTATGCCACGCTCGCGCCAGTCGAAAAAAAGGGAATTCTTCTGTGAATGTATCAAGTATTGCAGGGGCCAGCGGCGCCCAGTCCCTGAGCGGACGTACTACAACCACGAGGCCGCCCG